ATAATTACTCCTCTTTGAACATTTGCAAGGTTCTACTTGTCCATGTCTCTCTTGATTCAGCATGCCACTTCAATTCTCAAAATTCTGATGTATAGAGCTTGACATCTGGAATGACATTACAGTGCTGCTTCAGTCTATAATTTATGATATGGTAAATCTAAACCAAAGGTCCAAATTAAAAGAGAATCAAATCTGAAAGAACAAAAGCATAAAACAATAAAAGAAAAGAAATTTGGGTCGACAGTTGGTTGAATAGGAGGTTGCAAGTTAAATGAATAGAGCGTATCAATCAATTCCTACACGCTTGAGGCAAATGAGAAAGAAAATGGAAGACAAACTATCATTCAGGGAATGATAGTTTGAAATTGCTAACTATGTATAATAAAGATGTTATTCTTGGTAAATAGGATTTGACTTTGTAGATATCATAGATCAGCAAATACATGGTATTCTTTGGAATCCACAGCTATGAGCCTTAAAGCTGCAACTGCTGCTGCAAGAGACATGAAGCTGAAGAAAGCAACATTGAGCCAATGCCAGAGCTTTTGTGAAGAAATCAGTTTGTTCTTCTTTGCCACTAGGTACATGTGGTTTGCTAGGATAAATGTTAGAGGGAAGGTGCTCAATGCCCCTGTAAGGCTCTCAAAATCGCCGAGGAATGGGAGAAGAGCCGACACCAGTGTACTGATAGCAAGGTAGCCACCTCTTGCTGCAATTCTGAAGCATAAGTTCTCCAATTTTAAGGCACTTCCTCTAATTCCAAACTTTGTGTCCAAATACTCATATGTTGGACTTGCAAATATCTACAGCATTCGAGGAAGGTAATCAGGTTCGTGGAGCATTGCTAAAAATGGTTAATAATAATATTGAAAACCAGGAAACACAAAGAAGTATACTCACATGCAAAGCAATGACGGATTGCAGGAAGGCGGAAATGTTAGCAGCAGCCTTCACCCAAACTGGGCCACTTACACTGTTCAGCAAATATGTTGATGTTGAAGATCCATAAGCCCAGTAGCCAATAAAGGTAACAGCATACATCGGTAAGACTCCCATGGTGAACTGAAAGTACAAAGCTTTCAGCATGTTCTTCACAGCAGGCTCCCTCACTGTTGCCTGTC